AGTTTTTCCTAGAAGACTTTCCAATATATCGCAAAATTTATAAAAAAAAAATCTGTCATCAAATACAAATAGCAAGATGTTTACACAATTGTTATGTTTGTTGTTTTAGTGATGTATTATATTTGAAATAGGTTCGGATCAATAGACTATCCGGGAATAGGCGCAATATATGCGCCCGAGTTACAGAACACCCGTTCCACAGTCGAGGTCAGAGGTCATCGCACCGATGCGGAAATGCATGAAACCGCCATAGAGAAATGCTCCAAGATATTAGTGATATACGTGATATACTTATGATTTATAAAGGACCGAATAGTAGGATATAAAGTGAAATATGAAGGACATCAGATTTGAGAAATATGAGGAACTAATTAATTCCAGTATATTTTAAAGTAATTTCCCAGAAATTAATACACCTTTTTTCTGAGTTGGATGAGGCCATTAATGATATTCAATGTTACAATTCTAGATAGTATTAATTATTATGTATTATATATGCAAACTACACAATTTTCTTAATACCGCACCATTAATTAACTTCTGCAATTTGATTGCGTTGAATAAAAATTCAAAAATACTCATTGATAAGAATAATAATTCAAATATTTCTATGGTTTTGTTCGATCAAGAGAGATTTGTTCGATCAAGAGAGATTTGTTCGATATGAATTTTGAAGTAAATATTTTTACAACAACATCGTAACTCCTATTCACAAATTGCTGAACTTCAATGCTGCAGGTTAAATATATTATTATTATAAATTAAAATTAGCTACAATATAACATTATTTTTTAATTGTTAAACTAAGAGAAGATCTCACTAGAGTTCTTCTTAGACATCGCTCTCAAATATTGTCAATTTAGCTTATAGAAATCCTTATGTATTTCTGATTGCTGAATAAAACAGAGTTAAAAAAAATTAAAATCGACTCATATTAATACAAATTTTAAATATTTTAGAATGAAATTATTTATAAAGGACCAAATTGCAAGATATAAATGCAATATGATAGACCTCAAATAAAATTATTACACGTATGTAGAACACTTTTATCGATAAAAATGATATACATCAAATAGATCTATTCATTGATTTTATTATTCATGTTTTATCCTCAATATATTGAATTTCAAATAATAATACTCTATTCAAATTTAAAACCCACTTATTTTAGGACAATATTTAGACAATAAGACAATAAGACAATATTATTTTGATTATTTTAGAAACAATATGTGTTCTGTCGTGTTCTTTGAGTTGTGGTAATATATTTCTTTGTAACCTAGTATTATTAGAACATAAAAGGTATTTTCTATTGAGACCATTTAGATATAGATTTTTAAGTAAAAAATTAAATCACTACTGCTTGACACTAGGTGGTCCGAAAGAAAACTTCAATTACAGCCTCGTTGTTGCAATGATAGAGCTCTTACCGTTCTGAATGAACCACTCAACAAAGCAATATTTATAGTTAATAAATCTCTAATGCAAATTTTTAATGCAAAACATTAAAAAGCTGAAAAATCGTTAACGAATAGATATAATTAACAGATAAAATTTTAAATTTCCTAATAAAAACTGAGCTGACGGTAGGATAAATAAATAGTAATAATTATTAAAAACATAATATCTGTGTACACCAGTAAAGGTACAAAAAGTATAATATTTGATACATCATAAAAAATATTATTTTAATAGTAAAATTGTTTTTTTAATAACAATAATCAAAAAATGCTCTACTCTGCGAATATTTCCAGGTAACCTTATCGGTAAAAGTCTGGAATAGAGAAGGATCAAAATGTGCAAATCAATATTTTAAATTCTCTCGATTTTACAAAAGAAAACTATTTCAAAGTAGTATTTTTAACTTGTGAACTCTGCACTTTTCAATTCTTTCAAGTCGTGCAAATATGGAAAAATACATTCCGATCAGAAAAATTGAAAAATTCTAGCTCTGGTTGGAAAAAAGTGAAAATATTTCTAAGCTTCTGCTTCGTAAATATCACGAAGATCTGATAATAAATAAAGAAAAATGTGGATCTTTAAATATTTCAAAATATTTCAGGCAATTAATAAGATTGATTATATAGTGTTTGCGACGCAAAATCATAATTTGAAGTATCTACTCTCATGTACAAATGCTTCGCCTATTATTTATATTAACATAAAATGTAAACAATATAAATTTAATCTTCAAAGGAATTAATTACTATTCGACTTCAAGAATAGCTAAGACATCGAGCCAGTTTGTAATATCTCTTAACTCTTAATACTTCAGTAGAAAAGTTCAGAATTTTGACTGAATATTTTTATTTTAACTTATTACTTCTAATAATTATTAATTATATTTTTCACTTCGATACGATATACGTATATGGATATTTAATTCGAAAATACAATAATATTAACCATTTAAATTTAAATTGACTTTACTTCGATTTGGAAAGTCAATAAATAATCTTAAAACTTTGGCAACAGTGAACTTCAGAAGACTTAAATTGAGTTTCGTAGATACCTATCAGTAAGTTCCTAAAGATATCCATTGAGAATAATCAATCGGTGTCAAATAATTTAATGAATAAAATAGCATCTATCTCTTAAAATGTATTTAAATTAATTATAAATTCACCAACAAAAAATATTCGAAGAACTATGAAGAACAACCCAAGATAAAAATTCAAGACACGCTCATTGACATTTTTTATTATATCAAATGTCTGTGTCATTTGGCTCAGTTTTAATAGTACTTGAGTATTTTAATTTTTGGATTTAATTATTCATAAAATATTTGAAAAAAAAATGAATCCTAATATCCTATAAGTAGTTATTTATTTCTTCCGTTATTCTTCAGTATTTCTTATTCAGTGACCTAAACTGCAAAAGCTTTTTACGTCAAAATTTTTTTAAGTTCTTTAAGAGCTTTTAAAAATAAATTCGCATTTTAGAAAGAGTATTTTAAATGGTTCCCATTATTTAAAGACACTGTCTAGTTTTCTTTCTGTAGTACATGATGTGGGATTTAAAATGTGCGGATTAAAAGCTTTAACTCGTTTGCATATTCCATATAGAATATTTTGATTATAATGAGAAAAACTTCGTTTTATTACATTCGTTCAAAATTAAAAAGTTTATATAATACTTCTATAAAATTTTATTTTGTATTTTATCTAAATATAGCAAACATACCAAAACTTTATAGAAAAGCTATTCTTCTTTTAATCAACTTACTATATTCAAAAACTATTTTAGTTTTTAATTATTTCTAAGAACAATGTAAAATTAGTAGGTACATGCAAATGTTTAAATTCAATTTAGGTAATTTATTTTCAAAAATAGACTTATATAATAATATTATTTTTCAGGTAATTGTAAATTAATAAGAAATATCAAATTGTGAATAATTACTGATCAGTTTTTACTAATTTATATATTGGTTATTAATAACATCAAATTGTGTTTAAATTTAAATTTAAATATTTATAAAAATTAATAATAATAGTGTAATTCAAATGATCTTACTTAATTCTAAAAATTTTAATCTACTTACTTCAATAAAAAATTTATGTTTTTCTATCTTTAAAATATGTCAATTTCCAAAATCTGACAATGATCAAAGAAGTCATATTTTTTTGACAATATAATAAATCTAGTACTCAGGTAGATAAACTTTTTATTTTTACTTGTCGTTTTCAAAAATGATTTATTTTTTAGAACTATTAGTTTTATTATTAAGGATTAGTAGCACATTCTCGATACCAAAGCACCAAGGTAAGTGGAATACAATTTGCTAATTTGGATAAAATGAGACTGGAAAAATGTAATCGAGCAAAATTATAGTAATTTTGAAGTGTAATGAAACCCCTACTAGATCAATCAAATTAATTTTTTTTATAAAATATATTTTTATAGTTCTAATGCTTTTTATCAAAAACCTGATATATATTTTTATGGCAATTTCATGATTGAGAAAAACTACCCCAGTTAAAATAATGCAATAATTTTATCGCATATTTTTGTTCAAGGATCAATTTAACCCTTTCCACTCGCAAACTGCGCGATTTTTATGAATTTTGGCATCCGAGTGGAAAGGGTTAAACCTTTTTTGCTTTAAAATTTATGACTAGTTAAATTATTGAGAATTCCAATTAGTAATTACAATATTTATTTATCTCACTGCTGAAAACACTGCTGTAGCAAAAGCGTTAAAAAACTATTTTAGGAGTATTCTGTTCTAGAATTTTAAAAAATCGATTTTGTTTTTTTAACATTCTCAACGTTTATCCAAAAAATTTCTACAGGAGGATTTTTAGGCGATATAGCTATTTGACATTATAATTTGTTTTACCCGGAACAGTCTTTTTCAATGATACCCACGATTTCTCTATTTTTACTGGAACACTTTATTTAAATTTTTTACAGAGTTTTTTTCATAGACTTCTCTTCAGTATGAACTTGACTCATCCTCAAATTGCGATTATTACTATTTTCAAAAATTGCGAAAATTGAAAAAGTTGTAAAAAATTATTTTTTTCAAATAGTCCCTATTTTGTGAAACTAGTCATACGATTGCGACATTATTCTAGACTAATAACTTATCGTTTAGCTTATTTGGAAGGCTAAAATTTTGGGTATGGTCAGGTGTCAATTTTTTGTGACTCCACACTTCCTCACCTTCTAGAATTAAAATTTTGACAATTTTTCTTTATTATATATATATATATATATATATATATATATATATATATTTATACATGATTATTTACTAATTTGTAAAATGTATTGCAAAAATATTGTTTACCTTGTTTACGGTCTTTTAAAAAACGCATAAAATCTTGCCCCTAAACCACAATACCCACAAACCTTATAATACATGTATTATAAGGTCTATGAGAATACCCCATTATATGATTTTGCAAATAACTTTGTTATTGCGTTGCCAAGCAACATGCAATACTAATTTAAATACGCGAACTTCTTGATATTATCAATAATTTCCAACAATGTCGTTTTTTCGTGCAATTATAAAAGCAAGTTTGCTCGAGAGAAAACTATTGCGTTATCAAGAAGAGAAGAAAGTAGCCCTCAACGATTACCTTAAAGGTAGAAAACGCAGACGTGCGAAAATACCCCCAAAGTTTAATTCAATCGAGCAGCAATTTGCTGGAGCGTCATTATGGCGCAGAATGCGAAAAGATGGAACCTTTGCAAATGCTGTGATGAAGAGCTTCTTTGGATTCTGTGGAGGCTTTGTATTGACTTACATTTTCTTCGTATTTTTTGTTTTCCAACTGAATTTTACCATGTGGAGTGCAACCTGCTTGGCTTCAGTGGTAGGGTGTATTTTAACCCTTGGCCTGGCATTTAGTAAACGTGTACGATGTATGGTTTTTCTATTGCTGCCTCAGTTTTTTAGTAAAAGAGGACGCCAAGCCTTGGCTGCTTATGCCTTTATATTAGCTTTGACAGGACCAGCAAAAAACACTTTACACAACACGAATGTTTTATCGGAGTCATTAGCTTGTGGGCAAGAACAACTCAAATCAGCAGCAAGAGAAGTAATAAATATAATCAAAAAACCATACTACGCCATCAAGAATGCTATCAAAAAGCTTGCAAGCATTATATCAAAAATTATTGAAAAATTGCGAGCAGCCTTCACTGCCTTGAAAAAAATAATAATGGGCATTTTAGGGGTTATCAAATCTGCGTTTCAATGGCTTGGCAGTGTGGTGAATATTTGTAACAAGAAATTTGGAACACCTTTTCAAAGATGTATGAACGTTTTTGATGATGCAATAGTGGATTGCAAAGCTAAATTAGGAAGTGTGTTCGGTTGGATGTGTTCTGTGGCGTATGTTGCAAGTGCACTCTGCTACACGGTGAAATTTTGGGTAAGTACCAAATAACTGGTAAGTACTATGTAATAAGGTATCAATTTCATGATTGAATTTCTTAGCAATGCCCTCATACCATTCCTGCGTCAGAAATATATTTACTTATTCATATATTATTATGATCATATCCTGAGTAAATACTTTGACATTTACATCCATTACATGCTCAAGAGTATTTGACCTTTAAATCCATTACATGTTCATTCAGAAGTAATATTGAAACAAAGCCTCCAGATGTGATGTGAATAGAATGTATTATAAATTAGGATAATGTGAGTTATTAAGTAAAATAAGTAAAACCTTTATTGAAATTGATTAATTCAAACAGTAAATCAATATAAATATAAAAGGTTTTCATTCATCTATATTTTAAAACTTGTGACGCCTTATATATCTAGTAAAGTACTTCATAAAGTTGTATGCAAGAACTTGTAGATGCATATTTTATAAATCCTACGTTTTATCAAGAAAGTTCTTTTCTTTTGGGAATACCAGATGACATTAAATTTAAATTAGTGTCGTAAGTATAGACAGTTTGATATTATTTTCAGGAATTATTTGAATTGATTCGCGATTCACATTTGGCACAGTTGTCTTCCATAATCAAAAAAAAATCATATAGGAACAATATGTTAAATTTCAAACCTACGTTAAATATTGTATACTAATGTATGTTGTACGACTACCTTTGACGTAACCTCTTAACAATTTTTTTCATAATTTAGTACAATTATGAACAGAATACATTTTTAAATGGATGGTTTCATAACATATTAATAAATTAAAAAAATTATTCAGCTTGGATATCAAATCCGGACAATACCAGAATACAAACTTTAACCACTATTATAATTGAAAAAGCAAAGTGTAATTAAAATTTTTTTTTTAATTATAATATTGTTTCAAAGTTTACGTGTCGGTTTTGTCATAGTTTGGTATATATATTTTACACATTAAATTTCAAAATTAATGTTTTTTTATTTCAATAATTGTATTCGCAGTGTAAAATCTTTTAGATTTGCTGAATGATGACACACAAAGTGTCAAAACATAAAAATAATATTAATAATTTACCTTTTCAATTCGTCCAATGAACTGCCAATTGTTCCAAAAATGTTTGAACGTTGAAAAAATAATCAAGATATACATGGTGTCCCAGAACTTAACGTCGATCTGGAACGGTGATAGTATTGACCTTCACTGTCCTGAAATAAATAGAGAAAACATTATTTCATGCTTGTAAATTATGAGTTTTGGTGAAAACTTTTATTTGCTTATTGTATCTCATTTACATTAGTTTTCTTTTAACTTTGGAACAGTAACCGTGAATAACATTTCTGAGACCATAGTAAAATATAATAACACAATAAAATTCGAAAATGTCCATATTAAGGACCACCCTAGTATATACATATATATATATATATGTGTGTATTATAATGATGCAATTTAAATAAAATAATATAAAGCAAAATATAATAAGATTGCTCTTACTATGCAAGAGCAATGTATGTAGAGAAATAGTAAAACATGCCATCAGCATTAGACTGATATAATAACATGCTTCTATTTTATTCGCCTGGGTGAACCAATACGACTAGCATTTTGTAAGATTTTCTAGATAGTAGTAGTAAAAAGAGCGTCATAAATTACTTATATTTGTAAGAAAAAAAATCTCCATCTCCACCTATGATTTTTTTTTTGATTCTTTACTGTGTCGATTCTAGACTATATTTGTATGCTGCTCGACTTCATCAGTGACAGCATAATTGGAAGTATCAAGAAGAGGTTTCGCCGTTTTGTCACTCACATCCGAACTATGTTTTTTGTATCCATAAAATTTAAGCATTCCTTTGATTTCGAGACAAATCAGTCAAGATCGATGAGCGAAGTGGCCGCCGGAATGATGACGGAGGTCAAACATAGAACTGATACAGTTTTAGCCGTTTTCGACTGGATGAGTTGTGCAACTAGCTTCTTTTTTCTGTTTATTGTTGTAAAGGTCTTCAATTATCGGAGGAAGTATTTGACTGTAGAACATTTCGATAACAGGTAAGTATAAAAGAATCATAGAATATGTGGTAAGGTTTCTCAAATCGTGCCACTTCCTAAGTTTTACTCCAAATGATAAATGTAAATTACATCATCTGGTACTATTGAATGAAACTATCAAGTAAACTTCATAATTAGAAAACTGGTGACTATTGTGAAAACAAATAGTTAAATGGCTATCAGTAAATTTTCTACTAATATTTTTAGCTCAATTGCAATTCTATTATGGCAAGAATATGATCCTGACAATTTTCTTTAATAACGTTTATTTATATTACATATATGTTCCAGTTATGCCATTAGTTTTAAATTCGAAATTCCAATATCATCCAGCTTAAGTCTTCAAATACTTGCATCTGTGCAAGTTTTCTTACTCATACCAGTTTAATTTATAAATATGAAGAAAATCCGAATAAATATAGTTTTCCAAAGTATTTGCTCAAATTAACAAACACCAAGTTGATGTGAATAATAACGGCTGTATCTTCATAAATAATAAACAAATACAGCAAAATCGACTTCGGAATTAATTTTTTATCCACTATTATTCATTATTAATTGTTTTAGGCAATAGATAAATATTACTATATTTTACTTCTAAGAGCTTCTAAGATTTTTGAAAGGCTATATGTGGTAGGTACCAGAAGCACAATTTTGAGAAAACACATATTTGAATATAAAAAGTTTTATAATTGTGAATAACAAATCAACTAAATAAGGATTAAAAAACGCAAGTTTTTTTTTCAATTTAATTGCACTAAATATTATTAACTTTTTTACTTAGAGGTACGACGTAAGCAACCTTACTCTAATATAAATTTTTATGTTTTTGTGTTAACGGCTTTTTATAAATTAACTGTTTTAATATTTTATGTATTCATTCTGATTGTAATTTAATATCAGAAATCATACAAAAATCAATGATTTTAAGAAATTGAATTATATTAGAAAAATATTTAAACAAAAATTATAATAGCCTCTAGTATAATTATTGATTCTTTGCTTCAGTATTAGACTTCTGTTTTTTTTATTGTTAACAAGTATTAGACGAAAACAAATTTAGAAAATTCGATCTAAATCCAAAATCTTATATCATGTTATGAGCTTTTAATTACAGTAAGCTTTGGTACAGCAAAAAAAATTGTATAATCTTTGATAGCAAAAGAAATAAAGATGATTATTGAAGCGTAGTAACAGAGAAATCAGGAAATACCAAAACTATTAATTTTGATACTTGTGTACAAATTTTATAGTTTGATTAATGATATCATTGAATAATAAAATTAGAAGCTCAAAATTACTGCTCACAAAAAAATTAAAGACTGAATTAAATGTAGGTACAATTTTTCTATGAGCACTATTATATAGTTTATATTTATTAATTTCGATGCTTTTGTACAAATTTCATCATTTTGATTAAGGCTATCATTGAATAATAGGATTAGAAACTCAAAATTATAGTTGACAAAAAAATTTTAACGGCTAAATTATTTATATGTACAATTTCCTACGACCACTATATATAGTCTTATTTTGAAAATAAATATTCTAAATATTTGCTTAATGTCGATTAATGTTTAATTAATGAATATCAAATTATTTAAATCACTTATGGTAATTAATTTATATTACTATTATTATTAATGAATATCAAATCATTTTAAATAACTTATGGTATATAAGATATAATAACAGTAGATAAATATATTGCACTTTGCTTTAAGCCAGGTTATATATTATATTCTTATATAAAGCTTTTCGCAGAATATCAAAAAGTATATTATGTTTTCATGGAAATGTAAATTTCTAAAAATACATAGTTTATTTACCACAAGTGATATGTTATAAGGTGACCATATGTCCCGATTTTCCGCCTTGCGTCCCGGTTTTTTTTAAAGGCCATATTTGTCCCGGTTTTAAGTGTTTTGTCCGGATTTTAAAAATAGTTCGATTGCCGATATTGTTTAAATATATTTCAACTAGAAAATTTGAACCAAAAAATGTGCATATAAGTTTTTAGCTCACCAACGCCCAACACACCCCCTGACATTCTCTACATAACATTCCGTCCGGATGTTTCGTACAAAAAAAGGTCACCTTATATGTTAATACTAATAATTTAATGTCTTAAATAAGATTTATAATTATAATACAGTTATTCTAGAAACTTTTGATATTTTATCTTTATTATAGATATATCACCGACTACC